GGTCATCATAAGTGGAGCATTATGTAGGCATTAGCGAGGTTGATCTTCACAGGTGGAGCATTATGTTGGTGTTAGCGAGGTTGATCAGGTGGAGCGATATGCTGTTAGGAGGTTGATCTTCACAGGTGGAGCATTATGTTGGTGTTAGCGAGGTTGATCTTCACAGGTGGAGCATTATGTTGGGTAGGAGGTTGGTTATCACCACCACTACCACACACCACCACACCACCACACCACACACCACCACCACCACCACACACCACCACTACTTAACACCACCACCACACACCACCACTACCACACACCACCACACACACCACCACCCCAAAACCACCACTACCACCACACACAACCACTACCACACACCACCACCACCACCATCACACGCCACCACCACTGCACACCACCACCACCACACACCACCACCACACACCACCATTACCACACACCACCACCACCATACACCACCACTGCAACACACCACCACCACTACCACACACCACTCACCACACCACCACCACCACACCACCACTACCACACACCACTTACCACACACCAATCCCCACCACACACCACCACCACACACACCACCACCACACACCACCAACAAAACACACCACCACTACCACACACCACGACCACACACACCACCCCACCACACACCACCACCAACACACACCCCACCACCACCACACACCAACACCACCCCACACCACCACCACCCCACACCACCACACTACCAACACCACCACTACCCCACACCACCACCACCACACCAACCACCACCACACCACACACCACCACCACCACACACCACCACTACCACACACCACGACCACCACACACCACCACCACCACACAACACACCACACCACCACACACCACCACACCACTCCCCACACCACCACTACCACACACCACCACTACCACACACACCACACACACACCACCACCACCACACACCACCACTACCCCACACCCCACCACCACACACCACCACCACCACACAACCACGACCACCAACACACCACCACCACACACGACCACCACCACCAAAACAACACCACCACCCCACACCACCACCACCACACACCCACCACTACCACACACCACCCCCCACACACCCACCACCACCACACACCACCACTACCCCACACCACCACCACCACCACTACCACACCACGACCACCACACACAACCACCACCACACACGGCCACCACCACACACGGCCACCACCACCACACACCACCACCACACACCACCACCACCACACACCACACACCACACCACACACCACCACCACACACCACCACCACCACACCACACACACCACCACACACCACCACCACACACCACCACCACCACACACACCACCACCACACACACCACCACCACCACACTACCACACACCACCACACACCACCACCACACACCACCACCACCACACCCACACACCACCACACACACCACCACCACACACACACACACCACACACACACCATCACCACCACACATCACCACCACCACACACGACCACCACCACCACACACCACCACTACCCCACACCACCACCACACCACCACCACCACACACCACGACCACACACACACCACCACCACCACACACCACCACCACCCCACACCACACACCACACACCACCACCACACACCACCACCACCACACCACACACACACCACACACACACCACCACCACACACCACACACCACCACACACCACTACACACCACCACCACACCACCACCACCACACACACCACTACTCACACACACCACCACCCCACACCACCACCACCACACACCACCACACACACACCACCACCACATCACCACACACACTACCACACACACCACACACCACACACCACCACACCACCTCTTCCATGACAAATTTTTCTCCCAGACGACGGAAAATTGTGATAATACATAAAATACCCGGAAAATTCTCAACCACTTTCTCCTCTTCACTCCAGGACACCCAGGTACTGAGGAGCTGGGAGGGGCGGGACGGAGGAGGCGGCGGGCAAGGAGGTGGGCGAAGGAGGGGGTGGGTAATCTTGCCCCACTAGTTCCAATCATTACCATATGATAAACTTTCTTCCTTGACTAAATAACCTTTCCCAAGACGAACTTTTCCATGATATATTATAAACTTATACAAGACTACATTATTTTCTGGTGGTTATAAGTGTTTACCAGGCAGTATTCGTCTGGCTCAATGAATATATTTCAAAACTAAAAAATAATTAGTTCATTAACTATTTAATATATATTTTTGTTCAATATTAATGTAGACAAGACTTAAGATCAGTGTGTGTGTGTGTGTGTGTGTGTGTGTGTGTGTGTGTGTGTGTGTGTGTGTGTGTGTGTGTGTGTGTGTGTGTGTGTGTGTTCAACATTATAAAATTTTCAGAGAGAGAGAGAGAGAGAGAGAGAGAGATTTCTTTGTACAGGGATGACCTAATTTTAACTCCCAAAGAAGGGAAAGGCGAGAGAGAGGCGGAAAGGGGGGAAGTGAGAGGCTGGGAAGGGGATGGGGAGGAAGGAGAGGAGGATAAGATTAAGAAAGATGCCGGAAAGGAGGGCAAGGAAGGGGGGGAGGGACACAACATTCCGGATGTAATAAGCTGGACAAAGCTTAGTGAAGGAAGCTGACATAATATTGTACCATCACCCCGCCAGCTGCCTGCCCCAACATTCCTCACAGTGGGTGGGCGTGTGGTGGATATGTGGGTGGGGCGTGGTGGAGTGTGGATGACGGGGTGAGCGTGTGGTGGGGTGGGATATGTGGGCGTGTGGGTGGATATGTGGGTGGGGCGGGGGTGGAGGTGGATGGACGGGTGAGCGTGTGGGTGGATATGTGGGTGGGCGTGGGTGAGGTGGATAAACGTGGGTGAGCGTGTGGTGGATATGGGTGGGCGTGTGGGGTAGATAGGTGGGTGGGCGTGTGGTGAATGTGTGGGTGGGCGTGGGCAGACATGAGTCTTGAGTATATGAGTGGATGAATGAATGACATGTGGGTGGGCGGGTGTTTCATAGCAAGAATGAACGAACTGGTTGACAGATATTCTCGGATGTGTATAAACGGAGTTAGTAAACACACACACACACACACACACACACACACACACACACACACACACACACACACACACACACACACACACACACACACACACACACAGCCAGCTAGTGTGGTCCCGCCGTAAATGGTCGTTAGCGGCGGGTAAGGCGGTGCTAGGCGGTGGCTGTGAGTGTGTCCGCCTCCCCGGGCGTCGTGGTGGGGGGCCGCACGCAGCCACACAAACACCTCGCAGATTCCGTGTATTGTCAGGCTCGCGTCTACATTCAAATGATATGGAGGGTGGGTGGCGGTGGGTGGCGGGGTGGGTGGCGGTGGCGGTGCTGGTTTACGGTATAGCTGGCATGCGTCCTTCACTGCCTCAGTATAATAGTTCATGCCAGCGCTTAGGTGAAACGGGGTGCGGCCTGTCACTCACTCCCCCTGTTGTTTACTCCTGAGGTCCTTTACCCTCACCTGAAGAAGAGCACCCCCCCCCACCCCCCGTTTATGTCACCTAGTAATTAACCTAACCTGACCTGACCTGACCTGAGCTAACTTAACGTAAACTAGACCACGCTAACCTAACCTAACCTAATCTTCATGCATTCTTCCCTCTACGGTAATGAACTTGGTCATATCTCCCCACCTTCCTCCCCCCATCATCCCCACCTTCCCACTCTCCTCCCCCACTTCCCCCATCACCCCATCTTCCCCTGCCTCACTCCACACCTCCCCACCTCTCCATTCTCCTCCTCATCTCCCTATCACCACCTCCCCTATCATCCCTTCCCTTCCCTCATCACTCCTGACCTTCCCCCTCTTCCCCACGATTACCTGGTGGGAGAGAGGTGAGGGAAGAGGGTAGGGGGAGAAAGAGGGAAGGAGGGAGAAAGAGAGGAAGAGGGAGGCGAAGTAGGGAGAGGAGGAGGAAAGAGGGAGAAGAAAGAGGAAGAGGAGAGAGACGATAAGAAGGGGTGGGAAGGAGGTAGGAGGAGACAGAGGAGGAGAAGGAAGAGGAGAAGGAAAGGGGGGAGCAGAAAGAGGGAGGAGGAGACGAGGGAGAAAGAGGGTTAGGGAGTGAAGAAATAAATTGTGGAGGAAGTTAATAAAAAGAGAGAGAGAGAGAGAGAGAGAGAGAGAGAGAGAGAGAGAGAGGTGTATACGGGACACACACACACACACACACACACACACACACACACACACACACACACACACACACACACACACACACACACAGGCGTCTTTTTATTTTTATTCTTTTATTTTTAATTTTCCCCACGAGGGTGCTAGTTTATTGGGCACTCCCTTACATCCTGTGCAAGGTGTAGCGCAAAAAGCCTTTAAAGCGGCCAGCAGGGTTAAGGGCGTAAGTGCCTCAAGGGCCGTGGAATTCATCAGCAAGTTACATATAGTGAGAGGATGAGTGAGTGGGGGTGGGTTAGGGACGAGAGGGGGGAGGCACTTAGGAACAAACCTGTGAGTGTGATGACGTCTGTACACGTTATATAAGACAAATTGACCCAGTCTGACCTCTGCCATGACCCCCCTGTGGTTAAATCATGGTTCACCTGCTAATAAGAGACGTCCATGACCCCTCTCTTAGGTCACACTGTTTTTAGTTACAACAACAACAACAATGACTGCGCCAGTATAAGAAGCATCATGACTACCATGATTTTTTGTGCACTCGGAGGAAGATTACATAGGAGGAGAATGACTTAACCTGTCTCGTGTTCATGATGGGGGAACATGATAGCTGCTTACACTTGTCGTATGAACAAAGGGAGAGAGAAATAACATACTCGATGGCGTGTTCATAATTACTCGTAGTTGTCGATGTTTTAACTTTTTGAGGAGAGAGAGAGAGAGAGAGAGAGAGAGAGAGAGAGAGAGAGAGAGAGAGAGAGAGAGTTAC